GAGGGAAGGAAGGAAGGAAGGAAGGAGAACCCACAGACTATGTGCACATGGTGTGGACGGCCTGGGTTTTGTCCTCAAACCTCTGATCTCCAGATCCCAAGGGCCAAGTCCCAGCTGAATCTGACACTTCTTCATTCAGCTTTTTTCTTTTCTTTTTTTTTTAATATTTATTTTTAATATCTATTTTTAGTTTTCGGTGGACACAACATCTTTATTTTATGTGGTGCTGAGGATCGAACCCAGCACCCCGGACGTGCCAGGCGAGCACGCTACCGCTTGAGCCCCATCCCCAGCCCCTCATTCAGCTTTTTTCCAAAGCTCAGTTAGGAACATTACTGAGTACGCCATAAGCAAAACCTCCACCTTGGGATCCTAGACAATACGAAAAAACTGAAGTGTCTCTTGTAGAAACTACATATCACTGCTGTTTTAATTCACRGTAACATACAACAATGGAAAAATCCACTATTTCATTCAGTTCTGAGGAGTGACATAAAATACACAAAATTTGAAAATATTTTTAATTTTTTTTGCTTTTTWAAATTTTTATTCTAAAATGGAAAAATGTTTAAGACAAGTACTATTAGCACAAATCAGCATAAAATATTAATAGCATACAAATACTATTATGCTATTAGCATAAAACAAAAGTTAATGAAATAGTCTACAAAGGTAGCAAAAAATTAAGAAGTAGAAATTAAGAAGCAGAGAAGCAGTCTTTAAAGAGCTTTATGTGGTCTYATTTAATTTTTTTTTTTTTTTTTKGCAGTGCTAAGTGCTGAACCCAGGGCCTCCTGTCTGCCAGGCAAGCACTGTACCACTGAGTCACACCCCAGCCCCGAATGCTGACTTGGTCTCTAGACAGCCCTCCTGGTGACAGGGATGAGGAGAGCATCCGGTGTCAAACTCTCTGAGCTGTGATCACAATTGGTGTCCCTGAGAAGCTTGAGAGCATCCRGGTGAGGAGACTCAGGGTCTTGAAGTCACTCTATTGGAGATTGAAACCTAGCTGGTGACAAAAATCCTGAGTGTTTTGCAGTCTGTGAAGAGACCACAGAGCCCGTGGCTGACATCCCCTTTCCTATCGGAGTCACGTGCCCAGTGGACATTACCAGCATTCAGCTCAGCTGTGCAGGACGTCCAGCAAGGTCCCTCACAATCTAGGTCAGGTAGGAAGAACTGAAGTCCTTTCATAAGAAAAAGATGTCAATCATGGGAGATGCCAGTGACAACAGAGCTGCCCCCCGGGAGGCCACCGCATGGTGCCTGGCACTGTCTTTCCAGGCCTAGTGGCTCCCACCCCTTCCCATCAGCTGACCRCCGAAGCCCAGAATGCAACAAGTGAGCAAGACCCAAAGTCAGGTGTTGGAATCTTATTTAGCACTGAGGCATCGGATGTAGAAATGAGAAGGTCATCATCAAATAACAAACCCATCTGCCCCCAAACTTGAAAAAAAAACTCGCTTCCCATCAACTGAATTCACATTACTCACAAACAATGAGTCAGAGACCACAACAGAAAGCAAAYGTCATCTATTTTAGAAAAATCTTTAATGTGTTGTTTCGGACAATCCGATGAAACTTAAATCTGTAATGTGTCTTCCATTAACCAACCTCATTGTTAAATTCTCACTCAGGGCTCATTGGTCCTGGGATTATCAGCAATGCCTAAAATTCTAAGAAAATAGGTCATAGTTCTCACTAGGTCATAGCTGATTGTAAAATTTCTTCCATTTCTATTTTAAAAAATTCAAACTCTTGAGAAGTTGGACATGGGAAGGTATGCTACACAGTGATGAATTTTTATTTGTATTTTATTGGCAGTTCAGTTCACTTGGCTTCAACATTTATTGAGCACCTACTATGTACCAGGCACTGTACTAGGTGCTGGAGACACAAAGATGAATAAGACATAGTCCTGTCTCCAAGGAGTTTACAATCTCTTGGAGGCAAACAGGTAGTGCAAAAACAGAGTATATTCTAAAATAGACAAAACTGTCAGTAACATAGTAATATTGGGCCTTTAAATACAATGGTATATTGTCGTTTGTAATGTCAAGGCAGACAATGAAATGCGTTTTCTTGTGATAAAACTGCAAAATCCTTAACCCTAACCTTTGAAGAGTCACATGATAAAGGTAGTTGCTACTAAAAACGTACACCAGTTTTTCAAGTATTTCACACTTAGAAGCGTTATTGCCACRTCTGTGCTGCGGTGCACCCCCAGGCTCCAGCCGCCGTCATTCACACCTCAGCACGCTGGGACTCAGCTTCTCGCTGAGTTTGTGGATCAGAATGGCCAGCTCCTCGGTCGCTTGGCTCTTGTCCTCCAAAAGCTCATACCGAAGGCTGGAGATGTCTTGCTTGATTTCTTTTAATTCACCTGTAAGTATTTGTATTAAAAAATATATAAAATTGGTGATTCTCTTTGAATTTAGAAAAGAACAAAATAAAACTCATGTGACTTGAATACATTTGCTTCCTAAAGTCYCCCAAGGTTTAAGAAATATCTGTCTTCACAAACACACTGACCTTTGCTCAAAGCTATAAGAACAGTCCAGCTATGCCTGCAGGGCTGAAGCCCAAGCATGGTCCTGCAGCTAAACCCAACATTTTCTGTTTGTTTTATTGTGCTGGATCYGACCCTGGGCCTCTGCATGCTGAGCAAGCTCCACCCCAGCCTTTAATGCAGGGTCTTCTTGGTTACCTGACTACAGAGCTGCCCTCTTCATCTGCCCTCCTCCCTCTGTCCCACAGACCTCAGGTCCACACTCATTGGTCATCTCTCCCATTTCCAGAATCAAGGGGAACCCACGCAAAACTGACCTTCACTAAAAAGAATCACTCTATCTAAGGGCCTAATGCTCCCATAAATAAGCAAATTATAAATCAGAGTGGAAAGGGGAAAGGAATGGGCGGAAGGGGCTGTTTATTAGGGCAGACAAAGGTCATGAGCTTGGAGCCGGGGAACAGGTGAGCTTGGGGCAGAGGTGGGGTGAGGGGTTCCGACACCATGCCACTGGCCACGGGCAGCCTCTGTTCTCTGGGGAGGACAGGAGGATGTCGGCATTCAAACAAGGCCGTGCCGTGATTCTGCCTGGTGGTGCTCGGAGCAGAGGGAGATGGCGATGAAAACCTGGATGTCTTGGAGATGACAGGCTCCGAGGGACTTGATGAAAGCACTCTGGTGCTTTTTGTGTTTTGTTTGCTTTTGCTTTTCTGTGGTACTGGGAACCAGACCTAGGGCCTTATGTGTGCTAAGCGCATGCTCTACCCCTGAACTACATCCACAGCCCATGTGAATTTCCTCACGTTATTGGGTACCATGGTGGACCGCCCTGCTTCTCGCTCCTACCCTACCCTTCCTGGTACGCAGAGACTACACATCAGCGCTGCATTTAGTTTATCATTTATTTGATGAAAACTTACTTCATCTAAGACCCTGCATGAGCTCTGTTATCAACTTTCTTATAAGAATTTTGTCCAAAACTCAATCTCATTGATTTTCCTCCTTTGGGCAAGCGCTTGATAAATGCTACTTGTTTCTGAAGCTCTTATGCCCGTCAAGCTCCTCCCACTTTGCTCCAGTTCTGTCTTCCAGGGGTGGCCATGACACAGCCGAGCAGGTTTCTGCCTTCCAAAGCAAACACCCATCCCACTTCTTTCTCCCTGACACTGTCTAGGTCAGCCCCTAGTTGCTGGTTCTCAGTCGCACATTCACAGACTTCTTTTCTGCACATATGAACCACTGGATTGGCCCCGACTGGCAGGGATCTCAGATGGATCAGGTAAAGGCTCCACCGCCCACAGCGATGCCAAGGCCAGCCTTTCTCCTCTCACCCCCGTCCACAGATCCATGCATGTCTCAGGGGAAGGGACACTTTCTGTTTTCAGGAAACTTTTTCCCCAGGTTTATTTTTTCCAACTCTAGGCCTGTGCTTTGGATCCGCCCCCAGCTCTAAGGCTGTGCCCAGGATGCGCCCTGAGAAGGAGACACTTAGGCAGGAAGCCAGTGGGCACAGTGAAGTTCACGACAGGAACTTCAGACAAGGCAAATGGATTTGAGATTTGTTTCCAGATTAGACAGAGGCCTCCTGGAGAGTGAGGGGTCCATCTGAGGGGCCCCCATTGCTCCTCTGCCTGCATCACTGGAAAATGTCGAGTCTCGTGTGAACTCACTRGAAATGGAGCAGACACCATGGAGGACCCCGGGTCAGGAGGTCGGCCATCTCCAGGGGCCAAGAATCTTGGGCACCCTGAAGAGGGGAGACTGCTCTGCACAGCATCTAGATGCCGTTCGCTTGGAAGGTGGCATGTTGGAGGGGCAACAGGAGACTGTCCTGTCGATCTTGGGGGAGCCCGAGCCGCGCCCTGCTGTGGAGGCTCCCCGGCCTCCGTCTCGGAGGACGGGCTGCTCGGGGCTTACCTTCATTCACCTCGTCGTTCTCCTTGTCCACTTGCGCTTTCAGGACATACCGCTTTATCAGTCTCTTCATTATCTGCTGTTGGGCAAGGAGAAGTGGTCAGTGGTCACACAGCCCTGGACACTGCTCCTGGGGGGCCTCCCATGCCTGGAAGAAGTTCTCAGAACTAGGGACACAGTACCCAGGCCTCAGACCCCCACCCCCCTTGCACCTGTCTGAGACTTCACTGCGTGACCCACGAACTTGTCTTTATGCCTCGGAAATGGAAGAAGCTTTACAAAACGCTGAGTTGGAAGATTTCAAATCATGGTTTCTCTTCCAAATAAGAAATGGTTTCTCTTTCAGGTGCACTGACACTATATTATCCCCATAGACAGACACTGCCTTATTCACACTGTTACTGCAGGCTCAATACAAAGAATTTGGAAAATACAGAGAACAGCAAAAKAAATAAACAAAACCATTGATAATACCACTATCCCAAGATAATCGCTGTTGTGACTTTCACATATGTCCTTCTAATAGCTTTTCTTTAAATTTTATATATTCATAATTATTGCACGTATGAAATTTTACATTTCCTGGGTATCATGCTATATCCCAGGCTTTCCCCTCATAGCAATATATGTCACTGTTATTCTCCACTCTAAGTAAGGGTTCTTATAGGGTAATGATTTGTCCACATTGAAAAAAACTAGAGTCTTCATTCATACCCGGAACACAAAAATTAATTCTAGTGCATCTTAAGTGTGAAAGACAAAACCTTCAAGTCCTTAAAAAAAGTGTAGGAGAAATATTTATTTCAAAGTGGAACTGGACTTTCAAAAAAGATAAAAATTTCCCACGGTAATGGAAAATATTGGTAAGTGTCCTTAGGACTCTAGATCTCTAGATCTGAGCACAGGGCAGGCCAAGCCGCAGAGCGGGAGAACATCCTGGCGGGACTTGTAACTGACAAACAGTTCGTATCCAATATGTGAAAACACGTGTAAAAGCTGTGACTCAACAGGGAGACTCAAAAGAGCGAAAGGCAGACAGGCGCTCGCAGCCACGGGAACATGGACGCCAGCAGGCCCACGGAGCATCCACACTCTTTTCTGTTAATTAAATTTGGCAACGCCAAGAGGTGTTGGGAAAGACGGGGGCCAACGAGGACCCCCCTTTCCTGGACAAGCCACTTTGAGAGCAATGTGGTCTCATCTTCTGAAGCCGGACACTGGCGCGCCTTCGTGCAGAAAGCGGGAAGGGCCCAGGGAGCCGCGCGGTGGAGCCAGAGGCAGAACAGACGCAGCCCTGGCCTGACCAGCGTGGGTGACGGGAAACAAACAGCAACAGGAGACGGACAAGCCAGTCACGGGGGTGCTCACTGCGGTGGGTGCTCACTGCGGTGCCCAGGAGCACACTGTGAGCCCCACACGGCAGCGGGAGGAACCTGAGAAGCACAACATGGAAGGGAGAGTCCAGCTGCAGATCAGGGAGCATGAGACTGTTGTTACGAAGCTCAATAGGAAATAAACCTATGTTTTAGGACTGTCTGCATATTTAATAAGCCTATAATTTACAAAGAAAACTAAAGCAAGAGGATTAGAAAACCAAACTCCAGGATGGTGGTAGCCCCGGGGTGGAGGCGGGGCAGGGCGGAGATGCACAGGAGCACAGAGTGGACCCATGACATCCCTGGTTGGTTTCCCAGTGTGCACACAGTGGGTTTCTGAGTGTGCACACAGTGGGTTTCTGAGTGTGCACACAGTGGGTTTCTGAKTRTGCACACAGTGATGCTTGGCAGCTCAGCATCGCTACATGAGTCAAATACCACGCTTCCAAGGTAACAAGAAACGGGGAAAGGCCTGAACCGAAACTCAGTCACAGGGAGATGGAAATCAGGGACCTTCTGATGCAAAGTCACCCTGGTTCCTCCAAACACCTGCTTGGGAGAATCACAACAGACCAAGGCAGAGCCACRCTGTGGGCAACGCCCACTTCACCAGTGACAGCAAAGCAGAACACCCGTGGGGGGTGTGGGAGCTGGGCCGGGCTCCCGTTGGCTCACAGACACGCTCCTCCTTTGGTGGGCGAGTGCGCACTGAGAGCCAGCTCCGGGCCAGGCTCTGTGCCAGAGACAGACAGGGCTGCCGCCACTCTGGCAAGACTTCTTACCTACCCAGCACAACTCCCTGAGGGAGGTGAGCGTATCAGGGATCTAAGTTGAGAGAAGAGTGAGGTGGATTTAGCTCATCTTTACAACAGTTCAGAGCAGCTCGCTAAATGTCCTTCAATGAAGGAAGGAACAGACACAGTGGCTTCTTCACGCTGGGGAACATTCCACAGCAGTTAGAATAAGAACTGYGAGATACGTGTATCAATGCAGACAACAGTAGGAAGATAAGCGAAGACAGCAGGGGCATGTGACGCTCATACARATTTCAAAAAACCTAGTGCATAATGTTATGGATGTATCTATGTGGGTGATAGATATCTAAAAGTGTGCCTGGGCAGAGCGCACACGTGACTTCCAGGTAACCAGGGTGTCTGGGAGGACGGCAGCTAATGCCATAGAGCAGGGGATTTAAGTTGCGTCAGAAATTTCTTACAAAAACTATCCAAGAGTGTTTTTGTTTTGCCAGGGATATGGCTCTTCCACTGGGGCTGGCCTCCACTCAAGTTCTCGGGTGGTCCTCCTGCCCCAGCCTCCAGCGTGGCTGGGACCACAGGCACTGTCACCATGCCTGGCTTAGAATATGGCAAAAGCATTTGTCAAGTCAAGGTGGCAGCAGCACAGACACAAAGAGAATACTCGTGATACTTTTCGGTGTTTGAAAAAGTCCATAATCAGCTATTTTAAATGTAATAAAATAAAAACTCTTCAACCATTACAACAAATAGTTGCTGCCTYGCCTTTCCTGGGCCTCTCCAGCCCGGGCGGCCACGCTGCCTCTTCAGCAGCCAGAGCCCTTCAGACCTGGTGGACCTAGTTTTCATGTAGACACGGAAGGCTGAGAGGAGCTGGGAGGGAAGGGCTGTAGGTGGTCTGCATGAACCACTAAGAAAACTTTTATTTGTAAATCCTACCTCTGCAAAAAGTAAAACCTCTTGAGATGAAGGGGAAGCAGAATGTGTTTGGAGCAAGGAGTGTCTGAATTTGAATACAGGCCTTTATTTACAAGTCCAGAGCTCAAGACACTGAATCTCTAAGCTTCCTTTCCTCATCTCTATAACGGGGCAGTAAAACTCAGCCCAGAAGGAGCTGTGCAGAGGAAACAATGCAGTGCAYGTAAAAGCACAGGTTCTGCTGGAGAAGGTCAGCTACAGTTAGGGTGCAGACTAAGATGTCACCGCTCACGTTTCCCGATGCAACACTCTCTCAAATACTTACATCAAGTTTTCTGAAACTATACGTAGGAAGTCTACATAGTCTTCCACCCACTGCCAGAAGGGAAAGTGGTAGGAAAATAGAAAGTTTATGGTAAACGGATGGAGCTGGAGAATATCATGCTAAGCTCATAAGTCAATCCCCCCAAACCAAAGGCCAAGGTTTTCTCTGATATGCAGATGCTAGCTCACTGGGGCTGGGAGACAGAGTTACCTTAGCTTAGGTAGGAGCAGGGGTGGGGGGGTAGGAAAGGCAGTAGAAGGAAACACATCATTTCCTATGCACATCCATGACTGCATGACTAATGTGATTCTACAACATGTACCATYAGAAAAGTGAGAGATGATACTCCATTTACGGATGATACATCCAAGTGGATAAATGTGTTCTACAGTCATGTTTAAATAATTAGGGCACGTTTTTTAAAAAAGAAATTCCTGTGTGGTTCAAGTTCCCCAGAAATAGCCTGAACAAAGCTCATCGACTTCCCTCACTGCGGGGAAGAAAGGAAGGCGAGCTGTTGTCACCTGTCACCTCCTGCCTGCTAAAGGCTACAGCTTTCCCCTTCAATGTCTGGTGTGTTTTTAGCTGGTCCCACATCCCACAGAAACGCCACTGTGATTTTTCCAGCTTAAACACCCCTGTGCACCAAGCCCCAGCCCCTCTAGGAGGCAAGAAAGGCCCTGGGTTGAACTGAACCCCTTGGTCCACGGTGCAGGGTTCCTGTGAGTCTCAGGAAGGCCGCTGGTCTGGGGCAGCTGCCGAGGCTCTCCCTTGGGACTCCCCCTGTGGCAACAGCTCCTGAAGGGGATCCCCCGTCACCCTCTGAAGCAAAGCTCAGAAGGCGAGCTGCCAGACCTGAGTGGTGACTTACAGGTGTCTACCTCGGTGCAGAGAGAATGTGACAGTGTATCTTACAAAGCAGGGAGCCCCAGGAAATGACTCCCTTACTGGGACTCTGAGTTTCTTATGGTCATCTATGCTTCTGTGCAGCAAATGCTGCTTGTTTGTCCTGATAGTCAGAGTGCTACAAACGACCAGGAAACTCACATGTAACAAGTSAAAGTGCCGTTTAAAAATTTACCTTCAATACCCCGAATTAAATTGACCAAAACAGATTTATTGGATTTGCCTCTTTGGGTCCAATTACTGACTAACTACAGTAGCCTGTAGATTAACATCCCCACTCCTCAGACCTCCAGGAGTCATCTGCACTTCTTGAGGACACTTATGAGTCACATTTCCAGAGGACACTGTGACTTTATGGTGTAGACTACGGATTTTCTCTGTCCAGGGAGTGGAAGGCCTGGAAAGAGATCCCCAAAGCTGAGACTGAGGGGTGGCAAGGTGCAGACCCGGCTGGTTCTCCTTGCAAACAAAACCAGGTTCCTTCCCAAATCCTCCACTGAGACAGGGAGAAGGAACAGACGTGGGCGGGAACAGCTTCCTCCCCAAGGAGCCAGCGCCTCTTTTCACTCTCTTTTGTCCACTAACTTTTGTTTACTAATTCAAACTCAGGCTGCTGCTGCTCAGTACCATCAGGCCCTCACCTGCCCTCCCCCGACTTCACTCTCCATCTGCCTGAAAGCTGGACTTAAATCTTCTTCTGGGAAAGATTCCCCCTCCTCTCTCCCAGGCCAGGATTTCACATCTGTCATGCCTGGGGACAGAATGTGGGCTCCAGGACGGGTCTGCTCAAGCCAACCTTAGGAAGATAACCCTGTCTTCCATGAGATTCTCCAACTCTATTTTCTTCATCTTTCACTTCTCAACAAATTTATTGCACTTGGCAAGATATACGCAAGCTCTAAATCCTAGCTACCCATCACAGGGTGTTTTATTTTCGCTATTGTTAGTCTGCCTTTTGACAGTTTAACTTGCAAACCTCAGGTACTGAACCCAAGGAGATAGAAGAAAAGAATGACCACCTCCTGAATTCTTTTTGTTGTTGTTGTTGTTGTTGTTTAATGTGGTGATGGGGATTGAACTCAGGGCCTCACGCATGCTAGGCAAGTGCTTTACCACCGAGCTGTCTCCCCAGCCGCCCCCCACCCCAAATTCTTGAAAAGAAAAGAGAATTAAATGTCCATTTTCTTTTAGCCCTTTAGTGGTTGGTGTTTGGTGGTTCTGTGTGAATGGTACCACATTAATCCTAATTAATATGAGCAAAGACGACTACTTACAGGACTCCAAGAGACCAAAGCAGACCTGAACCAGTGGAAARTCACCGTGTTCTCAAAAGGAAATGAGGACTTCATAAGGTGCCAGTCCCTGCTGTATGCAATGCCCACACCTGTGATCCCAGCCACTCGGGGGCCGAGGCAGCAGGGCAGCAAGTTCAAGACCAGGCTCAGCAGCCTGCAAGATCCCAAACACAGCACAAAGGGCTGGGGTGCGGCCCAGGGGTGARCACCCAGGCTCAACCCCCAGTACCCAGACACAGTGCCAATTCTCCTTAAGTAAACATCGATCTCAGTAAAAATACCACCAGTCTGTTTGTGAAGTAGACCAATCAACTCCAAAATTCAAACAGGACAGGAGAAAGAAAGAGAGAGGGGAGGAAAAAGAAAGAATAGCAAAAATGGGGGTTCATTTGTTTGATTTTGTTTTAAACTACAAGAATTAAAATAATATGGTCAAATTGCATGAATAGACAGAATGGAAAAGCTAGAAATAAATACAAATAGAGACCAGAATTTAGCAATAAAAGCAGGATTTCAAATCAGTATAAAAGAAATATTATTCAAACACACTGAGCTATGTAATCATCTGGAAGAAAAAATGAATTTGGATCCCCACCCCACATATTATGCTAAAATATATTCTACATGGCTGAATATTGTCACATAAAACATGACAGAACTTAAGAAATAAGGATGGGGAGAAAGCTTGTTAAATGATCTCAGATGGGAGAAGATCTTTTCAAAGACTGCACGAATCTCCGACCTGATAGACTTGGGAAGGTGACTGCAGAAATAAGAAATCACACTTGTGAATGTCGACACACAACAAATTGGCAAAAACCTTCCCAACTCATAACACAACAGCTCATACCTTAAAATATTAAGAATTCCTCTTAACTTATACCAAAAGCCATCAAGAAAAGCAGGTAGACATTGGGTCCTAAGAATATAGAACACTAAACATAAAATCAAGGTCAAGTTCACTCAAAGTAAAGGTCCAGCTCATGCCCAGAAGCCATTGTCATAGGTAAGACCCCAAGCCCTCGCCACACACTGTTTGGTTTAGGAAGGAAACAGATACTCTCCTACGTGTATCGTGAGTGTCAATGTTACAAGCTCCACCAAAATCAGCTTGATAATGACTAAAAAATTTAAATACACAGATACTTAACCAGAAAATTCTCCACATTTGCACGTTTGAAATGTCAAGTACATGAGGTTGTTTCTGGAAGTATTACTTATTAATACTGGCATTAAATACTGGCAATACCCTCTCTCTCAGTAGGAGCTGGATGAGATAAACAAGCACACCGTATGGGATGTAATGTGACCATCCAAAGAATGGCTGTGGTAATCAGTGAGCCAATCAGTTCTGCAGAGTCCCCTCCTCCAGGAGAGCTGTGTGAAGGTGGGCGTGTCACTCTCCCAGCATCACCTGACATCATCACTTCCTCTGTCCTCAAGAC